GGGAAAGGATCTTCACTAACCCTTTATCTGACAGAGGACTCATATCCAATATATATAAAGAACTAAACAAGCTGAAAAGCAGCAAACCAAGTAATCCAATTAAAAAATGGGGAACAGAGCTAAACAGAGAATTCTCGACAGAGGAATATCGAATGGCAGAGAAACACTTAAAGAAATGCTCAACCTCATTAGCCATCAGGGAAATGCAAATCAAAACGACCCTGAGATTTCACTTTACACCCATCAGAATGGCCAAGATGAAAAACTCAAGGGACAACACATTCTGGAGAGGTTGTGGAGAAAGGGGAACCCTCCTCTACTGCTGGTGGGAATGTAAACTTGTACAACCACTCTGGAAATCTATCTGGCGCTTTCTAAGACAATTAGGGATAGTGCTTTTTTTTCTTAATCAGAATTTGAGACAGACCACACTTTAAAATTCCCTAAATTTCTATTCATTGATGCTGAAATATAATTTCTTCAAGCTTATGTATATCATGATAACCTTGAAAATATCTTTAAATACTTTTACTTATTAAAACCAATTTCATGTTTAGTATGCCTAATTTCCAAGACACATAAATTATATGCACTCCTTTTCCAAGGTGTGCATATTGAAACAAGAGCCATTATTTATTTATTTATTTATTTTTGATTCAATTTTAATGGTACCTGATAAACATAAATAAGATTTAACATAATATCTAAAGTTCATCACCTGCCAAACAAATTACTCTGTCTTAATGGCTATCTGTGCACCCCTATTCATATGGTTTTAATTTGTTTACAAGTTTCCTAAATTGAAAAAGTATTAAACATGATATAATACCTATCTGCAGCCAGACATTTTGATTCCAACTGAATTTGCTTATGGTATTTTTTGGGTTAGGATCAAATGATCTCATATAACTTCAATCATAGATGGCAAATCATCATATTTTAGAACTTAAAAAAAAAAGGTTTACTATTATGGATTTGGGTTTCTCTAGGCTCTCCTACTGTAGAGTCCTGTTCTTTTAAATTGTTGGGGCTGATGCAAAAGCATGGGTTGACAAAGTCATGCTTATATAAATAAAATCGTCAGTCTCATTAATCATGTGAATGTTTTATTTTTTCAGGGCAGACAGCATTGCAGAGAATTATAGATACTTTCAATCATGAAGGATTTGTGTTTATTTCTTATGTGGTTATTATGGCAGTTAGCAGAGATTTTAACCACCAGAGAGTAGATAGCCATTTTGGTTATGTTCTATATAGTACTCTTGATAGTGAGGACACACTTAGTACTATTCATGACACTTCGTTATTCATCCACATTTCATATGTTTCTAGTTATGAGATAAGCAATGTCTTAATATATTTATTTAACCTGCTGCAAGGTACACTGTGGCTTATATGAACTAAGTTATTTGTAATACTTTTATCTCCGTACATCTACACAATGTACTGGCTCTCCTCACTTTCTCTCTGTTTCTCTGTCTCTCTCTTTGTCTCTGTGTCTCTCTTTTTGTCTTGTTCTGTGTCTCTCTGTCTCTGTGCCTCTTTGTCTCTCTCCCTGTCTCTCTGTCTCTTAAAGAAGAACCTTACCTGGCAAAAATAAATTGGTTCTAACCCACAATTACATCCTTTGGTATATGATAACTTGCTTGATTCATAAGTTGCTAATTTCAGAGTTTAGGAAATGAGGTCAATTCCTGAACTCTATTCCTTTGAGCTTAATAACATGGGATATATCCATGATTAAATATAAAGAACTGATGAATTTTTGTGTTTGTCACTTCTTTAAAATGGTTCAAGAAACAATACATTATGGTTAAAAAAAAGAAGCAGTTGTTACACAATTCTGTGTCACAGATGTTCTGTGAAATGTGTAATAATGTGTATGTCCTAAGATAATTTTGTTGTACAAACATTATGGAATACACCTCCACAATCCTTGATGCTCTGACTTACTGTGAATTTGTGCCATATAATTAACATGCTGTTCCTAGGTATGACCTGTATGTTCATGTCAATATTCTGAGTTGTATGTAATTACAATATAATGTTAACTATGCACTTATATGTGAACATATGAAAAATAGAGTGAAGATAGATACAAAAGACAAAATCTGTATACCCAAACTGTCACATAAAATAAATGGAGCTTACTGCTACTCTGTCTGATCAGAAAGTCAGTAAGCATGAAGCTATTCACAGGAACATTATGGACTATGAAGACAATGACTCTTTCTCCTCAGCACTCATGGGGCTTATAGTTTCCCATGAATGATGGAGCCCCAAGAATCCCTGTCTCATCTATAATCTGTAATTGTCTGAAGACGGGCCTAATCTTGTGCAGGAGCGAGCAGACAATTTCAGGTTCAGTAAGTTCTTGAGTGCAAAGGCCATGCCTATATGACAGTGCTCCTCATCATCTAGCTCTCACCTTCCTTCGGCTCCATGCCTCACAAGGCCCCTGTGCTTAAGAAAGAATAGATTCTTATATTCATAGATTTGTAACCAATCTCCTCTATGACAGTACTCTCAAGGAGAACAAATCTCACCAAATACCTCATTGGTATTACTATACACTTTAAGAAAAATCTCTTAAGATCCTAGCACTGAATAGAATACATACAAATTTTTACCTCCCTTTCCTCATATACCTCAATGTAAGTTTTAGTGAGAAGTTAACATCACAATTTTTTAAAGCAAAGCTTATTTTAAAATGTTAAAGTATTATGACAATATTCTCTGTGACTACTCACTCTTCTTGGTGAAAAATACATCTTTAGAAAAGAACAAAATATATCCTTCCATTACCAGATCAAATCTTTTCACTCACAAACTTTTTTTTTTAAAGTCCTGTGATCTGAAAGTGAAACCAGGTTCCCTTTGTCCTTATTAATTTGGAAAGTGTGATTGCCGTTGCACTTCTAGAAATATTTCTTTTGCCAGTGCAGAGGAAATTGCATGTCAATTTTTAAATATCATTGCGCATATTTTTAGCCAAACCTAGCTCTGTGTGACACTTCACTAAAGTGTGAATGTAAAGCAAAAAGAAGCTTCTCTGCCCTTTGCATGCCAAGTATGCAATCATAATCTGAATCCTTTCAGATGAAAAGTGCCCAATTGTCAGAAAGAATTAAAACAGTACCATTTCATACTGGGTTTTCATGTTTATTTTATCATGAAGATTGTGGGACGATAGAGCAAGACTTCAGGCCCTTTCCTGGCTTGTTATTGCCAAAGGACCCAAATATCAAGCTCCCAGAGAAAGATTCTGATTAAGTTCAGAAGTGATGTTTATACCAGTGATAGTCTCAACAAGTATCATCTATTTTCAGCTAGATTTTAAAACCAACAAATTGCTTCAGATTTTTCTAAACATTGCTTTTCATTGAGTAATGTTACTGCTATTGTGTTTATTCCTTACATATTATTATTTTTTAATATTTTAAACTTATTTATCGGTTGTGAACTTCACATTATGTACCCAAATTTCACTCATCTCTCCATCCCCTCCTTTCCACCTCCACCCTTAAAAATTCCCCCCAAAAAGAGGAAAAAATATCTCATTTTGGAAGGTGTAGTATGTCACGGTATGTCCCACAGCATATCCTTTTTTCCACACTTCTTTGCTTGCAAACGTTCATTGCAATGACTCACTGAAAGGCCTCTGGCCTCTGCTACTCTTTCAATATCTGAACCTCATTGGAACTCCTCTTGGATATCCTGCTGTTGCGCTATGTCATGTGATCCTGTAGTTTCGGATTTGTAGGACAGGTGCCTTTATACACTCCAGCAGTTCATTAATGGGCTTGGGTGGGACAATTCAAAGCCTTGGGTCTGGGCCTGAGAGGAATCTGAGCTGGTGAGTCCACAGGATCTCCTGCTTTCATGCCCTCAGGGCTGGCTGACCAGCAACCCCCACAACAAGTGCTGGCTCCACCCTGCTGCCCAGATGACCTGCTGCCCAGGTGCAAGACCTGCTCTGCCAAGGGTTTGCAGCTGGTGAGGGTCAGGCCTGCTCTCTTGCTCTCATGACCACCATGGCCTGGTCTCTCACCTGCTGCAGATGGAGAGGGACAAAGGGGAAGTAGTATATCTCTTCCTTAAAGCCACCTCATGGGCGACCTCTAGTAGGGCCAGTTCTCCCATGCCTGCATCCTGGTGGCTGGCTCACCCCCAATATGCTGGTACTGCAGCTGACTAGGAGCAGGTTCAGCTCCTTCGCTCTCAAGCCTCTGGGGCGTGACGCCCAGGGGAGGGAATGGGAACAGTTCTGAACAGCTCTGAGTCATCAACAAGTTCCAGGGCAGCTGGCCAGACCAGAGACACCAACCGCTTAGCCTTTGGTGATAACAGACCCCTGCTGCTACAGGGCCACAGACCCAGACAGGACCCCTGACAGCAGCACAGATCAGGACCCCACCATGGTCCCAGGTGGCATCAGCAGCTACTCAAATTAGGCTGTTTCTCATGACCCTTTAGTCTTCTTCATTGTGCCCACATCCTTCTGTTTCTCTTTATCTTCCACTTCCTTAGTACTTACTTCTTTTAGTGGCACCTGAGGTTTCTGAACGTCTGGTGTCATCTCAGGAGGGGTCTCAGGGGTACGACACTCTGCTTGTGCATTTTGGTGCCAGGCAGGGGATATACTGGGTATGGTCTGCCCCTCAGACCAATGCAGTGTCCCCAACTGGTGGTCATTCAGGGTAGCTCCCAGTCCAGGCCCCATTGCAACAATCTGGTAGCCATTTCAGGCTTGCTCTTTGCCTGGCCAGCCCAAGTAGCCCCTGTGAGGGTCATCTGTTTCCAGGTCACCCAGCCTGAGGCGGTGAATTCCCGGGCAGAATTCTAGTCTCTGGTTTGCTCCCCACCTTGGGAGCCCATCCAGGCATACCTAGTGCCCAGCTGGTGGTTGTCTCAGGCTAGCTCCTTGTTTGACACCGCTGGCGCCAGACTGGTCGTGGTCTGAAGCTCTCTCTCTCTTTTTTTTTTTTTTTTTTCCAGGGAGTGTTAGGCTACAGCTCACTCCGATGTTCATAAATCAGAACATGGAGCACAGACCTAGCCTCTCTCTTCTCTGTCACTTACTGATGCACACGTGACACAGCAGCCAGGCCCTCAATGCCTGGCGTGAGCAGATTCCTTACACACAAGATGTATAATGAGGTATCACTTCCTCAGCTAGATACTAGATGTAATCGTACAAGCATTGCGGTGCTCTCATTGTGTGTAGCACATTCCCAGATGAACTCTTACCTGAAGTCTCCACATCTCACGCTACAGACAAAGATTCAGGACCTTTCTTAAAATAATTAAAGGTAATATTCCATTGTGTAGATGCACCACAATCTCTGTATCCATTCTTCAGTTGAGGGTCATCTGGGTTGTTTCCAGCTTCTGGTTATTACAAATAAAGCTGCTACGAACGTGGCTGAGCAAAGGCCCTTATTGTATACTTGAGCCCCTTTTGGATAAATACCTAGGAGTGGTATAGCTGGCTCTTTTTTATTTATTTTTTATTAATTACACTTTATTCATTTTGTATCCCCCCATAAGCCCCTTCCTCCTCCCCTCCCGATCCCACCCTCCCTTCCCTTTCTGCATGCATGTCACTCCCCAAGTCCACTGATAGGGGAGGTTCTCCTCTCCTTTCTGATCTTAGTCTATCAGTTCTCATCAAAAGTGGCTGCATTGTCCTCTACTGTGGCCTGGTAAGGCTGCTCCCCCCTCAGGGGGAGGTGATCAAAGAGCAGGCCAATCAGATTATGCCAGAGGCAGTCCCTCTTTCCATTAATATGTAACCCACTTGGACACTGAACTGATATGGGCTATATCTGTGCAGGGGTTCTGCGATATCTCCACGAATAGTCCTTGGTTGGAGTATGAGTCTCTGGGAAGTACCCTGTGTTCAAATTATCTTGTTCTGTTGCTCTCCTTGTGGAGTTCCCATCCCCTCCAGCTCTTACTATTTCCCACTTCTTACATAAAATTCCATTCACTCTGCCCATCAGTTGGCCATCAGGCTCAGCATCTGCTTTGACAGTCTATACTGCAGAGGCTTTCAGAGGCCCTCTGTGGCAGGTTCCAAGGTTGTTTCCTGCCTTCTTCTGGCTTTCAGAGGCCCTCTGTAGCAGGTTCTGAGGTTGTTTCCTATTTTCGTTTTCTTCTGATGTACATCCTCTTTGCCTTTCAGGATGGGGATGGAACATTTTAGTTAGGGTCCTCTCTTTTGCTTAGTTTGTTTAGATGTACAGATTTTAGTGGGTTTATTCTATGTTGTATGTTTACATGAGTGAGTATATACCATGTGTGTCTTTTTGCTTCTGGGACAACTCACTCAGGATGATCGTTCCCAGGTCACAACATTTACCTGCAAATTTCATGATTTACTTATTTTTCATTGCTGAGTAATACTCCATTGTATAGATGTACCACAGTTTCTGCATCCATTCTTCAGTTGAGGGGCATCTGGGTTGTTTCCAGCTTCTGGCTATTACAAATAAAGCTGCTACAAACATGGTTGAGCAAATGTCCTTTTTGTGTACTTGCGCCTCTTTTGGGTATATGCCTAGGAGTGGTATGGCTGGATCTTGAGGAAGCGCTATTCCTAGTTGTCTGAGAAAGTGCCAGATTGATTTCCAGAGTGGTTGTACAAGTTTACATTCCCACCAGCAGTGGAGAAGGGTTCTCCTTTCTCCACAACCTCTCCAGCATGTGTTGTCCCTTGAGTTTTTCATCTTGGCCATTCTGATGGGTGTAAGGTGAAATCTCAGGGTTGTTTTGATTTGCATTTCCCAAATAGCTAAGGAGGTTGAGCATTTCTTTAAGTGCTTCTCTGCCATTCGATATTCCTCAACAGAGAATTCTCTCTTTAGCTCTGTTCCCCATTTTTTAAGTGGATTACTTGGTTTGTTGCTTTTCAGCTTGTTTAGTTCTTTATATATATTGGATATGAGTCCTCTGTCAGATAAAGGTTTGGTGATGATTCTTTCCCAATCTGTAGGCAGTCGCTTTGTTTTGATGACTGTGTCCTTTGCTCTACAGGAGCTTTTCAATTTCATGAGGTCCCATTTATTGATTGTTGCTCTTAGAGCCTGTGCTGTTGGTGTTCTGTTCAGGAAGTTTTCTCCTGTACCAATGAGTTCTAGGGTATTCCCCACTTTTTTTCTAGCCGATTTAATGTGTCTGGTTTTATGTTGAGGTCTTTGATCCACTTGGACTTCAGTTTTGTGCAGGGTGATTAGTATGGATCTATTTTCATTTTTCTACATGTAGACATCCAGTTGGACCAGCACCATTTGTTGAAGATGCTATCTTTTTTCCGTTGTATGGTTTTGGCATCTTTGTCAAAAATCAGGTGTCCATAAGTGTGTGGGTTTATTTCTGGGTCTTCTGTTCGATTCCATTGATCCACCATTCTGTTTCTATGCCAGTACCATGCAGATTTTATAACTGTTGCTCTATAGTACAGCTTGAGATCAGGGATGGAAATACCTCCAGAAGATCTTTTATTGTAGAGGATTGTTTTAGCAATTCTCGGTTTCTTGTTAATCCATATGAAGTTGAGAATTTTTCTTTCCAGGTCTGAAAAGAATTGTGTTGGCAATTTGATGGGAATTGCATTAAATCTGTAGATTGCTTTTGGTAAGATGGCCATTTTTACTATGTTAATCCTGCCAAGCCATGAGCATGGGAGATCTTTCCATCTTCTCATATCTTCCTCTAATTCTTTCTTCAGATTCTCGAAATTTTTTTCATCCAAGTATTTGGCTTGCTTAGTTAGGGTTACATGAAGATACTTTATGTCATTTGTGGCTATTGTGAAAGGTGTTGTTTCTTTAATTTCTTTCTCAGCCCTTTTGTCTTTTGTATACAGGAGTGCTACTGATTTTTTTGAGTTAATTTTGTATCCGGCCACTTTGCTGAAAGTGATTATTAGCTGTAGGAGTGCCCTGGTAGAGTTTTTTGGGGTCACTCATGTATACTATCATATTATCTGCAAATAGTGATAATTTGACTTCTTCCTTTCCCATCTGTATAGCCTTCATCTCCTTCAACTGTGTTATTGCTCTAGCAAGGACTTCCAGCACTATGTTGAAGAGATATGGAGAAAGTGGGCAGCCTTGTCTTGTCCCGGATTTCAGTTGGATTGCTTTAAGTTTCTCTCCGTTCAGTTTGATGTTGGCTATAGGCTTGCTGTATATCACCTTTACTATGTTTAGATATGTGTCTTGTATCCCTGATCTCTCCAGTACTTTAAACATGAATGGATGTTGGATTTTGTCAAATGCTTTTTCAGCATTTAGGGAGATTATCATGTGGTTTTTTTCTTTCAGTTTGTTAATATGGTGGATCACATTGATGGATTTCCGTATATTGAACCACCCCTGCATACCTGGGATGAAGCCTACTTGGTCATAGTGGATAATATCTTTCATGTGTTCTTGGATTCGGTTTGCAAGTATTTTGTTAAGTATTTTTGCATCAATGTTCATAAGGGAGATTGGTCTGAAATTCTTTCTTTGTTGAGTCATTGTGAGGTTTAGGTACCAAGGTGATTGTCGCTTCATAGAATGAGTTTGGTAATGTTCCTTCTGTTTCTGTTTTGTGGAATAGTTTGAAGAGAATTGGAGTTAGCTCTTCTTTGAAGGTCTGGTAGAATTCTGCGCTGAAGCCATCTGGTCTTGGGCTTTTTTTGGATGAGAGACTTTTGATGACCGCTTCTATTTCTTTGGGGGATATAGGACAATTTAATTGACTTACCTGGTCCTGATTCAGCTTTGGTAAGTCAAATTGATCAACAAAATTGTCCATTTCATTTAGATTTTCAAATTTTGTGGCATATAGACTTTTGAAGTAAGACCTAATGATTGTTTGGATTTCCTCAGTGTCTGTAGTTATGTCCCCCTTTTCATTTCTCATTTTGTTGATTTAGGTGTTGTCACTCTGCCTTTTACTTAGCCTGGCTAAGGGTTTGTCGATCTTGTTGATTTTCTCAAAGAACCAGCTCTTGGTTTCATTGATTCTTTGAATTGTTTTATTTGTTTCTAATTGATTGATTTCAGCCCTGAGTTTGATTATTTCCAGCCGTCTACTCCTTTTTGGTGTGTCTGCTTCTTCTTTTCCTAGGGTTTTTAAGTGGGCCATTAAGTTGCTTGAATGAGCTGTCTCGAATTTCTTCTTGAAGGCACTTAGTGCTATAAACTTTCCTCTTAGCACTGCTTTCATTGTGTCCCACAAGTTTGGGTATGTTGTGTCTTCATTTTCATTGAGTTCTAGGAAGACTTTAATTTCTTCCTTTATTTCTTCCCTGACCCAGCTGTCATTTAGTAACAAGTTGTTCAGTTTCCATGTGTGTGTAGGCTTTTTGCTATTTCTGTTGTTGTTGAAGTCCAGCTTTATTCCATGGTGATCAGACAGGATACAAGGGATTATTTCAGTCTTCTTGTATCTGTTGAGGCTTGCTTTGTGCCCAACTATATGGTCTATTTTGGAGAAGGTTCCATGAGGTGCTGAGAAGAAGGTAAATTCTTTTGTGTTTGGGTGTAAAGTTCTGTAAATGTCTGTGAGGTCCATTTGATTCATGACCTCTGTCAGAGATATTGTTTCTTTGTTTAATTTCTGTTTTGTTGACCTGTCCTTTGTTGAGAGTGGGGTGTTGAAGTCTCCCACTATTAATGTGTGGGGATCTATATGTGGTTTAAATTTTCTCAATGTTTCTTTTACAAATGTGGGTGCTCTTGTATTTGGGGCATAGATGTTCAGGATTGTGAATAGGAAAAAGAAGACCCCCTTCTCCAAGGCCCAGAAAATATATTCAACAAAATCATTGAAGAAAATTTCCACAAGGTAAAGGAGAAGCCAATAAGGATACATGAGGCATACAGAACACCCAACAAATTTGACCAGAAATGAAAATCCTCCCGCCACATAATAATCAAAACAGTAAGTATACAGAACAAAGAAAAAATACTAAAAGCTGCAAGGGAAAAAGGCCAAGTAACATATAATGGCAAACCCATTAGAATCACACCTGACTTTTCAACAGAAACTATGAAAGCCAGAAGGGCCTGGATGGATATCATGCAGACCCTAAGAGAACACAGATGTCAGCCAAGGCTACTATACCCTGCAAAACT